TAATGCATATTACAAAGATTTTTTGCACATATATAATTGCATAATGATAGCTTTTGATAAACCTGACTCTACATGCAACTATTACCTATTATCTTTTAAATGATCCATCAAAACTTATTTTGGTTTTTAAAAAAATCTTTCAATTCACACGGCGATTTCACTCCAAAACTTATGACCAAGGCATATTTTGACAAACATCTAATATTTCAACAAATATAACCATTTAATTACTGACTACATACTGTTATTACCTATACTTTTTTATATTTATGATTGATAGTGTTTGTAATAGTGAATAATTAAACTTTGTTTAATTCTTAATGTTATCAAGTATCATATACATAAATGTATTATATGCAACTAGTTTTAACATTTGCAAACAATTAATATAATATAGTAGTTTATAGGAGTTAAATACATTTTAACTATGAGGATAGACACGCCTGCAATTATTGGTCCCGCACATTCATTTTGATAATAATAAAAAATTTTTAGGACCAAGTAATATAAAACATTACATGCAATAAAGGGATTCAGGTGTCGATTATAAAAAATGTACATATAAACAAAATACAGACCATACATACCTAAATGAGAATCGTAAATATTGTGCTTGGACTGAAGACTACGAAAACCTATGCAAAAATCTATTAATTTATTAATGAAAATTATAGCAGACGTGCTGACCTAATTTTCTAAAAAAGAGTCCAATCTAATTTAAATATTTGTACCCACCTATATCATTAATATTTTTCTTTTATGCGTATTAAAAAACATATTATATAACATATAATAATTTAATTAATATAGTATAGTGAAGCTAGAATCGTTTAGAGTTTTAGACCTATTATACGGTTATTTTTTGAAGTCAAAATAAATGATTAGATCTCATAAATATTTTATATTAATATTAATCGTGATAAATTTTAATAGACAGGCTATAATTAAGAGGGGGAATTTGGTTAACACACTGCTGTCACACGCTCGTAATTATTAATACCTAAAAAAATAAAACAGGCTTATAAACCTTTTACGTCATAGTGTACTCATCTCATATAATATAATACGTACAGTATTATACATATACCTGTAGTTACGCGAAAACTAGGAATTGCAGTAGACAGCAACTATGATTTATTACTTTCGATTATTATAATAAGAATTTCGACGATTTATTTTTATGTATAAAATAAATTGATTTAGAAAATGACTTAATCATTATTATTCCCAATTGGGTTTAAAATTATGTAATTTTACTTTATTTTGGTCTACTGGAGAATGCTTATTATACATGGACATGTATGTTTTATAAATAGGTATACTAATTGAAAAATTAAACCAAAGTAGTATTTCAAAGCCGATATTTGTTCAGCATTACCACCATAACCGTATATTTGCAACGGTGCAGAGACCTACACATCATGTAAGGCTCAAATTCAAATGTAGGTATTATTAACTATTAGCCATGTTTATTAACTCTACTCTCTTACAAGTCTTATAAAAGATTTTTTATCATTATGTGCCTACTCAAATTAGTCAAATTTATTTATATGTACAAAAGTATAAATTGTAAGTACTCAATTAATAATTTTTATATATATTTTGTTTATATATTCGTATAATTAGTTTAAATATTTCTAAAATATCCAGCAGTTATTATTTCAATTCTGAACTGCAACTTCAACACATCTTCAATACGTGTTATTGTTTAATTTATTATGTTTAAACAAACCTAAAATTATTTTGAAACGAATACAATTATAAACTAATATAGTGTAATCGTTATCACAAATTAAAATTACTCATACATTTTTAATATTGAATACAATTTAAGTGTGTTTGAACAGGAGAGGAGCACAAAACAGTTGTTTCTGATATGAACATCAATATGATATTTAATTATATTATGTCCTTGAGACAGTACATTAACTTTTAATTGGAAATAATTAGGGACAATAGGAAGACAGTACAGAAAAAAAATATTTTTATTTTCTGTTTCTTTAGTGGACTGGATTCTTTAATTTAATAAAAGGAATTGAAACCAGTTTTAAACAATGTTGTACAACGGATGAGTTTATAATAAAAAATAAAAAAAAATACATATCATATAAATCTTTGGCCTAAATTTGTATTTGTATTCTATTTGTCTTTCTCTTTATATTAAAAATATGAAACATTGGTCAAAACCTTGGTTTGTCCATAAACATTGTGACCTACGAGGACGTTATTTAACACACACCAATTTTATTCCACATTCTTTCCATTAGTTTTGCTGCAATACAAAAGTTTGTGGAAAATAATTTTAAATGTGCAAATGTGTCATACCGGTTTACTATGATACTGAAGCTAACAGTGTCACCGCCACAGCTTTGTACCCATCGCACTACATTAAATAATTAAGATATTATACTGCAACTGCATACAAAACCTGAATGCATTATAATTAGAGGAGTGTTCATCAATTTATAAAAAAAAAATACCTGTTGTGAGACCGATATTATTTTTTTCTGTACCTAGGTTATTCGCCAGGCATAATATATCATTTTTCCACTATATGTTTCTTACGCTCATTACGATCGTCAAGGCAACTCATAACAATATCACACAATACACATAATAAACATGTCATATTCGATACCGGAGACCGGAGTTATTTGATTTCAAGTTATTTTTATACTACTATGATAGAATTACTATATTCCTAATAAACATAATACGTATAGCTATATAGGTTATCTGTATGCGAATGTATCAAATCAGTCAGATAAGTACCTGTAGGCTGTAATATGTCTTCAAAAGAACTTGTATATCCATGCAATACCGAGTATTTGGATTTAGAGCGGGATTTCGAGTTAAGTATTGGGGTAATCGTTCGAGGAGTTCCAACACTAGAGTAATAGCCGAAAATCATATACGTTAATTCCTATACATATGAGATGTCTATATAAATATAAAAATGAGGTAAGTTCTAAGTTCTTACGCGGTAAAAAAAAGTTGTGGATAAAAACATAAAAATTGCAAAAAGAAACACGACAGAAAAAAATATTGTTACAAATGTATAAAAAATATAATAGTGGGACCATTTCATGCATTTTATAATTCACTAATATTGTAAAAAATATACTATATTTTATTTAGTTTTATAAAAAGTTATATAAAGTTATTATTTCTATTATTATTTAAGTTATCAAGCCAATGATACTGTCTTAAAAAAATAAAAAATTTGATATAGTTTGATAACTTATAATATTATATAAAACAAAATTTATTTTTTTAACAATTATTGAATAATATTATAAAATGTATGAAATGTACCTACTATGATATTTGTATACAATTACATACAGGTACTAATATATTTATCTACCGTGTTTAAACTCACATACGCACCTTTTTTTCACAGTGTAGGAACTTGCATATCTAATTTTTCTATCTTGTAGGAACAAACATATGCATTTTTTTTTACCTGCTAGGTCCCGTGTAAGAACATACATTCACTCATTCATTTTCCACTATACATAGTTATAGAAACGGGTTTTAGTATATATTTAATGCGTTTGATCAATAAGCATTAAAATAATCGTTTTTTGTAAAACCAACTTTTATAAATTAAATTCATCAATTCATATAACCAAACCCATTGATATCTTTCAAAATCATTCCGATCCTCGTTCATCATTCAGGAATGTTATAGCTATAATATAGTAATAAATATACATTATACAAGGTGTTCTAAAAATTTGGAAACGCTTTAACGCTGTTTGCATATTTTTATACACCTAGCTACATATAAATTAATAGATAACACTGCTGCACATTTTTTAGGTAAAATATTAAATCATCTCATTAATTATATTTTATATCATACTATAGTTTATCATTCCTAATTAGTATAATGATCGTCCGCATACTTTTTGAACACCCCTCAGTGTAACTCCATGCTCTGGATTTTTATTCCAACATTTTAACGAGACAAATAATTGATTTTTTTGAAAAAAAAACTATTGTCAAAAATATAAAATAAAGGCGTTTCAGAATCTATGGTTATTTGGCTATACAGCCAAAATACAATATACGAATAGTTTTATAGGGGTTCTCACATATCATATATATTTCAAATAACCTTAAGGTGTTAGGTACAATATGAAAAAATGTACCGATGTAAAAACGAAAAACACTGTCAACACATTGTCGATTATTATTATAACTATTTTTTTTAATATACAATATCAAAATCAAATTGTAAGTATAGTGTAAGTATAGTGTTTAAACATTTATTAGATACAACATAAATTTAAATTAATTTATTCATCGATGAGAGTGGATACTATTTTGCTGGGCGTGTTTTATAATGATGCTCTCATAGATAATTTTAAAAAAATACACTTAGCAGGTATTAAGTATTCTATCAGCAGTTATAATTAAAAAATCAGATTTTAAACAATTTGTAATTTTATTTATGTTAAAATATTTCGAAAAAAAACATTTAACTATACCTATACAAATAATTAGACAACTATAATACACTTATTTATAATTAAAACAATTTGTTTGTCCTCTATAATTATTATTAAAAAATGAATTATAGGTAGTATAACAATAGCTTTATAACTAAAGTCGTTATAACATTTTCGTATTTTGACAAAGGGATTCATAGAATGGTCGTAAACGAACCATTTTTTTTCAAATTAGTGTTAATTTCAAATATATTAAGCCGAAAAAATATTTCCTGAAAATCCAAAACGTTAATACTTTTACCAGACCAATCGAGTGTTTATTTTTACGAGTAGAATATNAAAAATACACTTAGCAGGTATTAAGTATTCTATCAGCAGTTATAATTAAAAAATCAGATTTTAAACAATTTGTAATTTTATTTATGTTAAAATATTCCGAAAAAAACCATTTAACTATACCTATACAAATAATTAGACAACTATAATACACTTATTTATAATAATTAAAACAATTTGTTTGTCCTCTATAATTATTATTAAAAAATGAATTATAGGTAGTATAACAAAAGCTTTATAACTAAAGTCGTCATAACATTTTCGTATTTTGACAAAGGGGTTCATAGAATGGTCGTAATCGAACCATTCTTTTTCAAGTTAGTGTTAATTTCAAATATATTAAGTCGAAAAAATATTTCCTGAAAATCCAAAACGTTAATACTTTTACCAGACCAATCGAGTGTTTATTTTTACGATTAGAATATATAATAACCTATTGCACGATCAATTTAATAAATAGGAATTTATATCTTATTTAAGCAAAACCAACAATCGAATTTGTCACTAGATAGAAAATATATAATATTATACGTCCGTCTTAATATATCGCTTTATATAATACCGTTTTCCAAGGATTAAAACATTGCACAGCATATACTTATACCATATTAGTAACTGTAAATATTATATTAGTAACTGTAAATATTATTATAGCCGAAGTCGAATACATCCATAATATTATATGGATATATGCTTGCATACAGTGATATTAACGGTTAAAAGTACAAGCTACTATTTAACGCAAACAATAATTAACGAATAAACACGAATCCATAATGTATATAAATATATAGTTATAAGCATTAAGCATTAGGCGCCGACAATTATTATGCGTACAGCACGAAGAATATGGTGGTAGAATATTGTATAATATAATAATGTATTCGTGTCACCACTCGTGGTTCGTATTGTTTATACCGTGCGATACCTACCTATTGGTTAAATGGCGCTTGTCTTAGGCCACTCCCTCCATATATAAACTCATCATTAATCCTCTTTCGTTCATGCGTTTTTGACGTGTAGTTATTAATTATTATTCATTACTGTAAGGTATCGCCTTCATTACCAGCTCTCTGAAAACACCTAAATAGTTGAGTAATCTCCAAACTGCCATCTTCGTAATAATATGTCGGTATACTGCTGCAATAGGCACATTATCCATTGTTGTTTGCTTAAATAGGCGTAAGGCGTAACGTGTTTGAAATAGGGTTCTCCGTTCTCGCGATGCTTTGAACTAAAATTGTGTTCAAGTCCACTTACAGCTAAGATAGACGAATTACGAATATAATATTATAGCCGTGAATTTAAACACCCGCAGTGTCTTTTCGTGAGCCACTATCGACACTAGACAATTATTAGTAAACTATTAAAGTACCTAATAAAGAAAAATATATTTATAATTTTACAATTTTATTAAAAACTAAAGTAGTTACCTATATCACTATATGCATCTTAATTGTATTGGACGTGTATTAAGACATGCATTTTAATGAAACATTATGTGAAGTTTCAGCACATTGAACACACGTAATCTAATAATAACCATCATGGGCGTCTGTATTGGAGGATGTTTGGAGATTAGCCATTTTCCAATGTAAATTACGTTAACCCCCTAGAACTATATTGTTGTCAATTTTGTTCAGGTAAATTGTGCTTATAATATTTAATTTGTGGCTAATGACAATAATATCATACTAATATTATCACTTATGTAACTAATTTATATTCACCCTAATCATGTCATGATTTTCAACTTTGAGGTTGATTTCTAAAATGGATCTAGTAATTGGTCCTCATGGGGGTTCAAAATTCAAAATTCTCAACCTTGTTAGTTTTCTCAATCATCTGAAAAAAACAAAAAAAAAATTTTTTTAAACAGGAATTTTTAAGCAAAACTTGTTTTAACAAAATCAATATTGTTTTATTTTTTTATTTTGTGTAATTCAAAAACTAATAACCGTAAATAATTTAAATTTTCATAAACAATTTAGACTCTTTTTGAGCTATATATCACATATTTTCAATTTTCAACTTTATTTAGTTGTTTCTTCTTAAAACGTCGATAAAAATGTTTTCGCTTGGCCAAAAAGTTTGAAAGTCTACATTTTTATAATAACGAAGTAAAATATAATTATTAATGTATCAATACTGTATGATGAAGTGTATACTGTGATCCACAAATTTCAAATTTAACTTTTAAGTACGAAGTTTCAACAAAAAGTTGAACTCGAATCAGTGAAAAACAAGTGGTGAAAAGAATTGCTTTTAGCTGCTGGTAAAAAGTTCTACAACGGCACCTTAACCATAAAATGTAACCATGTACAATGTTCCTAATAAATACAGGGCTGGATGGAGAGGGGGCTTAAGAGTTCATAATAATATTATATAATATTATGAGCTTATTATTTTTTAATTTGGTTATAATCGATGTTAAAGAAAATTTAACATGTTTCTGGTATTTGAATGTAGATTTTTCTCCAATGAACAGACAAAAAATCAATTTTACGAGTCATATGTTTTTATTTGACGACTCTCAACGGGAAACGTGTTAATGAAAACGTCATGTTGACGTCACACAATCAACTATGTACCTACCTAAATAATATTATTACCTATAGGTATATTATATTGCTGTAGTGTCTTCGTGTGAAATGTGTATACCAAAACCTGAATTAAAAAAAATATATAATAACTGTTCGGCAACCCGATTGAGAACAACGCGGAGATGACGTACCTGGTACCTGTATTAATAAAGAATATACGGTATAAAAAAAATCGTTTAAAATACAAAACACTGAAAACACGCAATGGAGCCGGGTGTCACGCGATAGAACACACACGCAAAATGTATAATAACTTATAGTAGGTTATAGTTGACATATATTGTACGCATAACATGTATACGCGTGACGCGAAACATTTTATTGATTTTTCGTTGAACATTTTATTCGTATATAAAACCTTTAAACACCTGTATAAGAGACATCATTATTATAATATAAATGTAAACTGCAAACGACTATCGCGAGTCACCGTAAAACTACACTATGTACACTGTAATTTTAATGTATTACATAATATAACATTAATATTACAGTTAATTTTATTATGGTGATCGTATGCCAGACGCCAGTAAGTACATATATATATAAATATCGTATATAAACGTATTCCTTCAAGATTTCAATAGTTACTGGTCAGCCGTGGAGACTTATCACGGTAAATATAATAAATATATACATTATATCACTATACTACGCGTATGTCGATTTAGTTGGTGAAGTATCATAATATTGTATAGGGAAGCGACTAATTATCTGCAGCGTGGCTTAAATAATAAGGGATGTCGATGAGAAATTAATTTAATTATAAACAGTGTAATAGTTATTTGAGTAATTAGTAATTCAAATAATGGATTTTGTGTTTTAAATAACCATAATAATAGGTAACTACGCCTATTTAGTTTATATATATATATATATAATAACTCAAACACTTTATATGTGACCTTAAATTTGAACAGGTATGAAGTTTGTGGAGTCAAATTATCTTTTTTTAAGTGGCGCACACAATAAACAATTGAATTAAATATTTTAACCTATTATGTTTTATCCAATTTGTTTGCATAACTCATTTAGTTGAGGTCACTTTATTCTACTGGGTCAACATCTACTTCAGTCTCGAATTCACCAATTTTAAATTTTAAATAATATAAAAGTATGTAAATATTATGAATGAGAAAAATGCACAGTAACTCGATAAAAGTTACCAACTGCAAAAGTAACTTCCAACTTAACTTCTAATTTTCTAACTAGTTAATACTCAATATTATTGATAGTTAGTAATTACTTATTGTACACACTACACATATATGGGACTTTCTGTCATTTGGCAACTTCTCAACGACTGTAGGGCAATTGAAATATTTTCTATATTTTGATGCAAGTTTCTGGTGCTTGGTAGGTATAATATACAAAGCTGGGTATTAACGTGTTAAAAAAATAAGTTACTTAACGAGTTACTTTTATTTTCATAAGTAACTTCTAACTTAACGAGTTTTTTTTTAAAGGAACCTCTAATTTACCGAGTTCATTTATTTTAAAGTTACATTAATTTATTTATTTTTCGTAATATAAATTCTATAGATTTCAAATTATACATATAAAAAAAATAATTGCCTGAAAAATCAAATACTATTTTATGTTATGACTTTTTATATTCCATATTCTAAATGAGCTCTCAATTTCAAACGGTCACAAGTGTTGTGCACTATTACTGCATTTGAGATTTTAATATGTATTAAAATAACGTAATAAATAATAAGTACAACTATCTTTACATACAATTTTGAAACGATTTACGAGTAAATAACTTGCGAGTAACAAAAATTCATTCAAATAATTTATTTGTTTTGTTGAATTTTTATTGATTGAAGTATGTAAGTCTATTATTACTTACTGTAATATTAATACAATTACATACATTTTTTTTAAATAGTAAGACCTTCTACATTATGTTATTTATTAAGCTGTAATGAAAAGGTATAATAATTAATTTTAACTTATTTTTAACTAAGTTAAGTTGCTTTATTCCAAATTAACTTTTAACTTTTAACGAGTCGTATAAAAAATAAAAGTAACTTTTAACTTTAAACTTAACTTAAATTGGTCCATATTAACTTAACAAGTTAAAAAAATGAGTTAACTTGCCCAGCCTTGATAATATTGAGATATCGTTTGACCCAATTTAACAAGTGCGTCATAAATTCTACTCATAATAATATACAGAAATTTGCAACACCCAATGCATTATTTTAGGGTTTTTTTATTATTATCTCTAGTGATATGTTTATAAATTACATTTTAAGTAAATGAACACGTTGCAGTGATAATAACATGCGGTAATTTACGATGCTCCGTTTAGGGTTGAGTATTTATATATACGACATTATATAATATTACATTAATACTTTGTAGGTTATCTACTATATTATATAATAATATTATTTGGTATTTTGGGCTGACTGGCGATATTATATTAATGTTGAACAATAACATGGAATAAACGGATCGAGTCATTATAATGCCAAAGTCAGTCTCGTAATATTTTAATATAAAAATGTAAAAATTCTTAAGTTTTGCAAGTCGCATCAATTTACAAAGCTACAAAATAAAAATTCAAAGTTTTTCTTTAAACAAGTAATTACCAGTTTCTATAATTATATTAGTGTTTATTTTTTCTTTATTATTCGAGTATTTTAAAAATTGAAATCAATTTTTGGTAGGTATTAGGTAAATTTTTAGATTTTATGATTTACAAATTTTATTTTTTTTTCTACATACCAGTAATGAAGTAACATATGGTTAATAAATGTTTTGATGTTTTAATAAAACATTATAAGAAAATATTAATTTTATTTTAATTAACAAGCGCGCTAGAAGTAATAATATCAAAAAAATCATAATAATTGTGTTCAGTAAATTATGAAAATAGTATGTTTTAAGTTTTCAATAATATATATCTACATTATAATTGTGAATATGTCAAACCCGTTTCATACACGTATTGTTAAAATACATATTTACCTTTTGTGAAATTGAACGTAATAAACACAAACAAGTAATAAATATGGTAAATTAACAATAATACTTAAGAGCGAACGTCTGTTTCATTTTTTTGACCGACATATGGCCAATAAGAGTGTACACAGATATTATTAAATTTAAATCGATTAATCTATAAGTATATGTTACCATACTTACTACCTATAACCTTCTGCTAACAAAAAACTCTAGCGGTGACCTCATTCGTATCCTCTCAAAATGGTATATATGGGTACCATATTATATACCTTATTCAATCATTGGGCTTAAATGCTCAATAAATAAAATCGTATCAAGTCCAATAGCTATTTATATATATACTATATAGAGACAGCCCCCTCGAAAATTGTCCATACATCGAACGTGGTCGTTTAAAAGTCAAAATCCGAATAACCAACTTGGCAACTTCACTGGTTTATTAGTATGACTACACCTACCGCTATAACCTGCGGAGTATAATTAAGTACATAAAATACCTATAATAATATCTGTACTCCATTGCTCTATCATTACGAATTATCGATATTATAATCATTCAAAAACTGGCTGTTTGAACCTATTTCAGTGCCCAAATCGTATCTACTTATTTTAACGCCCTATGCTTTGATTGGTTCGAATATTGGTTATATCTGGGGCGTTGTTTGAAGTGATGGCTAGATTTTTATAAGCTGGTTAAATTTTTAGTTTTGACCAATTTTAGAACGACTAAAATGGAGGCTCGCAGTCGTAAATAACTGACATTTTTAAGGAACTGAAGTGCACAAAAAATTATAAAAACGAAACTTTAAAACTTTAATAGTGGTTTGATATTTTTGTTACGATCACGATTTCGATACAGATAATGTAAACATAAGAAAACAAAAAAACCATCACGATTCAATCGATTCCTGTAGATATCCTTTGATTATTTTAAAGAGTTAAATAGTATGTAAAATATTGCGATTAAAAAAAGGATCAAATATCGCAGAAAAATTTTAATATCTTCAAAAAAGAAAACTTCCAAATACACACATGTTCTTAGTTCTTAACACACTTTCTAGACACATTAAGTTTGATAATAGATTATTTCACATTATCACTCTAATATTAAAGCTAACAACACAAAATTAACGATGCTGAACTTGAAATAAAAATAAAAAATATCCAAGGTTTTATTATCTCCATGTTTTAATTGAAAAGTTCTTTTCATTATTACCAAAATATATTTATTAATATTTGGACCAATCAAAGCATAGGACACGAAAATTGGTAGATTCGCACCAACCACTTCCTTTATTTATACCCATTCACCAACATTCTCGTTAAGTGTTACAATATTTCAATAATTATTAGGTATGTACTATAGTATAATATTATATAATACAATATACTATCCAAACAGTCCGATGCTTCTATTCGGTATATAAACGAGTAGTTTTTATCTAATGTCCAACGATTAATAATTATACCGCAGTGCTCGGCGTATAATAATATATACATAAAAAATTACATGTAACACACAGTAGAGTTTATTATATTATAGTTTATTATATAGTATACCTGCCTATTACATGATTCGCACAGACACCTATCAATCTATAACAGTTTTTTTTCCCCCGGAGCACGACGACGCGCCATAATAAGTATAGGTAGGTAGTAGGTACTACCTATGTTTTGCACTGAATAATAATATAGACACTATATAATAGACAGTATATTATTATGTATTAATTACATGCACATTGTCAAGAATAACTAATGTGTATGTTTATAGTTTTAATAATCTGTTTTAAACTATCATAAGGTATGCATATACTGATTTGGATGAGTGATATTGGCAATGTATTATTACAATTTATTGGTAAGTAGGTAACTATAGAAATAAGTAGGCATATAGCTTCAAATCTTGTGTATACAGAAAAATAGAAACTCTATAGATTGGTTTGAGATAATCGGTATCATAATACCTACGTATCTTGTAGTAATATAGAATTGATTGAAATGTAGTAACACAAAGTATAATATCTAAATAAAATGAATACTTAACAAATTAAATTTGTACCAAATATAACAATAATTATTCTTGCTTATTTTTATTTAAAATCACCTTGTTTAAGAAAAAGGAAAAAGATTTATTAAACTAAAATTGAATGTTAATTTATAAACTTGCTTCATTACTGTGGTGCATCTGTCTAATAATTAATTAATTAATTTAACATTATTTACTCAGTTTATTTAATTGTACTAAGTATAATGTGTACATTTCAATAAAAATTAACCACACATGTTGATATAGAATTTTTTACTTAAAATGAATAAAATGAATAATATTAAGTGATATTATGTCTGATTTTAGGTTATAAATAATAAGTAATATACTTGACATAAATAATTCAAATAAAGTTTAAGTCCATGTTAATTTATTAGGTATTAGTGGTATTACCCTGCGGCCTTTATAATACTTTTCAACGTACATGGTTATAATAATGGATATAAAATTATAATACTGTCAATATTTTATATTAATGTCCATTAAGAATTAGGCTTGGTTTTAGTAGTCATAATGGAAAAAGAGTTATCCTCGATGACGAGCAATGACAGTACAAAATATACCTAGGTATATCACAGTATAGTGATGAACCAATTTCACCAGCAAGTAGCAACACACGTCTCAATGTCACTACGAAGCACTATACAATAAAATATGTGTCCAAATAGTATAATTACTCGTTTTAATTATTTAATTTACTACATGTGTAGGGGATGAGAGAGAGAATGTCTCCCGCGGGTTACTGTGCAATATATCCGCTATCAAACGGTGTTTTCTAAACTAAAATCAGCGCACGTTCTATATGACTTATGTTCTTTAGTGGATCCGTACTCGTTATCGACATTCAAATAGTCCTTATTTTCTCCATTCCTTTCTGGTATTTTAGACTATTATTTTCTTTTAGTTTAAACCCTGCATGATGCACTCTCATTCATCTCTATTTTTCATTTCATATTACACAACCCAATATTCAAATTTTACTATGTTGTTTTTAAAATTAAAGTGAATTGACCATAATATGAAACATTATAATTTAAATGTAAAATTATTATCTAGAGCATTTTGGAAGATTTAATTACGAAGAAAGTTAAATCCATTTTTTTGTAAATGGATTTGTGTAGTGAATGCATTTACTCCAATTTTAAAAATAACATACCGAGTACAATTGATTACGAAAATGTGAACGCAAAATTTGGTGCTGTATGTTTCTTAAGGTGTATTCTGGACACAAGCCTGTTTTTTCTTTTGTAAATAAAATTATGATTTTCCAAGTTTAAGAATTCAGAAATAATTTTACTTATGACATAATACGTATACAAAAATATCGATACTTAATGACATAATAAATTATGATGTAAGTATTCAATAACTTAAACTATTAAAAATAATCATTTATTTGTCATTCAATTCACATATAAAAACCCACCAAATTATTGGTTCATAATATTCTACAACTTTTTTTTAATCGAATAATCCATTATAATTATATGTATGAGTATTAAGCTACAAATATATTTTAATTTGTATTGGATATATGACATTCGTTTAAATGCCTATACCTAATAAATCAACTGCTTCATAGTTTCTTGTTATGTGAATTTCTATTTTTAATAGTATGTGATTATATCATATTTTATTAAACGTAAATAAACTAGGTTTAGACATACTAATATTTGTCTATAAGGTCACCTACTATTTGGAAATCAAAAAATAGAACCATCGGAATCAACATCATAAAATCATATTTTTTGATTTCACTAGTGTGTACTTACAATAATGCCTGTAAGCTACAGATTAAACGATAACCTGTTGAAAGCTACATAAATTATGGGATTATATACCCATACAAAATATATAACAAATTGTAACGTTTAAAGTATGGCTCAAATTTGAATATAAAACAATTAAAACATATAATAAGAAAACGATGATATTTTGATAAATTACATTTTAATTAATTGTTTTGAAATCTGTATAATTTATAAAATAATTTATTGTATATAGTTTAAAAAATAATTTTGTTTTCAACTTCCAGATATCATATCTACCAAAGTTCATATAATCCTAAAATAATTTTATTTTAAACAATTTTATCATAAATGATTTTTTATTTAATATTATTCATAACATTTCAGTTATAAGAATAAAAAACGAAATAACCTAAGGGGCTCTGCTGTAAAGTGAATTTCAAATGTACCTTTCTCGTTTTTCAGTGGCATACTGTAATAATATTTTTAAATTTTTCTTTGAAATGGAATTTTAATTCAATGATAATAATCATTACGTATGAAATACGATTCTGAGCGGAGACAGAGCGTCTTTAATTCTATAAGACTAAATTTCTAATTGCGAGCTAAGTATAAATAGCTTAAAACGAAAATAAATGTTTCAAAAATGTAATTCTGTACAGAAAATTATAATATATATGATAGCGTAAAATGTCAATAAATATTTTTTTTTTGAATCACGACAAAATAACCATTAGTTTGGGTTTAATTATATAACTTTGTAAAATTTTGAAGGAAATTGTCTGATCTAAAAAGTGATGCAAATATTATTTTCTTTCTGCTTAGAACTAAAAAAATTATCTAATTTTCACTTTTTTAACTATACCTGCACATAATAATATGTATGTTCTTATAGTGTTAGCCACATTAGTAAACTATAAGTACAAATGTATGCAACATTAATTGTTACGAAATTATATAACTTAAATATAAATAACATACTACTCAATACTTATTTATATGATCTTAATTTCATAAGATCTTAATCGGTTTAAAATATTGGTTTCTTGGACTTTAAATATAAACATATTTTTGCCTTCAATAATATTATTATATGAATACAAATTGTTTTTACATCCATTTAATTAACAAAATATTTTTATTTAACCTGATTGATAAACCTCCCCAAAGATGGTCCTTAATCATCGTCATCATCTGAATGACTGAATCAACTTAATGTTGTATATTTTTTTACATTTATACATAGAGTACCTAAGTATTATTTAACACAAATAAGTATAGTTAATTTATGTTGTTTAACCTCTCAAGATGTTTACAAACAAATATATATGATAATAATTATTATTATTATAATGATACTAATTATTCCTAATAATTTGAGAAAATCGCAGCGTGTTACATGTTTCATATTTCAGTAATACCTACCATAAGCTATATTCAGTTAAATTAGAGAGTAACAAAATAAATGATATAAAGTAGGAAATACGCCCATAAAATAACTACTATTTAGCTAATAATTAGCATAAATGAAACTAATTGTTGTGTTCAAGTATAACCGCAACTAACAACTACTGGTTATGAATATATGGAAAACAAACTTTACAATTATGTACAGCGTTTTGATGGTTTGCTCTAGTAAGAAATAATGCTGATATTTGATTAAAATATTTCTACGAAAAATCGTTAGCAGATTCTAATATTAGCCAAAAAAGTTGTGTAACTAGTACTAATAGAGAATGTGTGTTAGAATAATATGATCGTGCGGAAGTTCAAATTAGTGTTAGTAAGCACTGAATATTCTTGTAAAATATTCATAATCCAAAAAAACAGATAGCCACCTCCATGGCTACAAGTAATTTAAAAAAAAGTTACCTACAATAATGAAAATAATGATAACATGTATAGAAAAATCGGATTTATATTACCAAAGCTATCCATCCGTCCATCGGTCCCATTATTTCGTGATACTGATTGCATCAGCAACGTGCCGCATGTGAAAACGTTGAGGATCATATAATATAATTCCTTTGATATAATAATCGGAGCTGATCATCTGGACCCATGAGTGCCGCGTTATGCCGAGTGGTCGAATGACGACATATATCTGCACATCACCCGTTCGGCAATGATGTTATGTAATAGATATTATGCGTACACATTTGTCTTTATAAATAGCAGGTTTCTATATACAAGGACTTCGATAGACCGCGATGGGTCGCATCGCCCCCTGGGGAGACAACCAGAGATTCTGAGCCGGTCTGATATTATATATACATGCACAAAGACAAAAATTCGTACGTACATACATGCATAAATAATATACATAAGGGTTAGGAGTGAACTTTGACACGGCAAACTCGGGGGTGGCGCCCTCGTGAATTTTTTTGTTAAATTTGTTTTTCTTTCTGAGGGAGCGTCTTCCAAAACGGGAGCTATGCATGGGATGAAACACTGGACAATTGTAATATAATATATCCCCTACAGCTGGTCATCGGCGTGTGACCTGAATGGGGTACCACGCATACCTTATAGGTGTAACAGACGACCAGGGAATCAACGCTGTCAGGTTTTATGCTCCAGGCGATAATATTATAATATATTATGATTTATAACTATGTACCAACGACAAAACATATTTTATCCTGTGATGATGACGAGGGATTCTAGAGTCGGAAAATGCTTGTCATCCCGAGAAACACAGTAACTATTTATATTATATCGTAGCAGAGAACACCCATATACCCTCTATGAGTGGATAGAAATGTTTTTTCGCTCAACGGTATCACTGTAACAACATTTTTGCAGCAGTATTAAATCTATTCTATAAATTTAAATTTTTCGAATTTTCAAATTGTTTTTTGTGAATATTGTCAGTAACAATTGTAAGAAACGTTGCATTGTCGTTTTCAGATTTTATTGAAAATCTTATGTATTAAGTGTTGCTAAAATGATATGCTTTTAATATACGATATAAGTGTTTGGCATTATTTAGAATAAATATCAATTGTCGTTTATCGAAATCGAAATCGAAATCGTTATCTTTATTAATTGAATACTATAACAATTATCATACTAATATAAATCTAATTTATAATCAAAACGGCGTTGAAGGATTTCTTCAAAAAAGCCACACTTATATTTAATTTATTCGTGCTACACGACGCATATTATTTATGATGTTTAAAGTAATAATATAGTTGATCAACTTGAACTAAGTGGCAGTTAATTGTCTGAACCTAGCAATTAGTACCCGATCTCATATTTGACAGTTTATTTTAAGCCATAATAAATATGATTAAAACATTTTAATTCAATAAATTATATAATATTTAATATACAAACTGTTAGTTTTTTATACCATTTAAGGAGTTCCCTATGACAATATCATCTATTACCAGCATCTATTTTTAAACGAGAAATACCTATTTTAATACCTATTTCACGTATAAATTGTAAATCAATTTAATTTTTTTCAAATTTTGAATTTTAATTTAAGCGAGTAGTTTTCGAGGTATTAAAATGTATATATCGTATAAATAATGATTTTACAAAAGTATAAAATAGATAAGAAAATCAAATCTAGTATTTATAATATACTTGGAACAATTTTTTAAAATTATTTAGTGTTGATATTAATCACTATAATTTTCATATCATTATATCTCCCATTGTATATCGTCTAACCATAAATTATCATGGACATGATATCCTTAGTAACAAAGATAAATAATTCAAAAACTGTTTGATTGAAATATGATTTGATACTTGATAGGAACATCAAAATTTCGAAAAGTAATTTGATTAACAATTTTTAAAAAACAGGGTGGTTCTAGTTTAAAATTAAATTTTGGTGTCGTCACTGGAAACTCCTTAGATAAATAGTATTAAAAACTAAATATTTAAAAACATGATTCCTAAGTAAACTAAAAAATTCAAAAAATCATAATTTGAATAAATTTGAGAAAATTGAAGTATCATCTAGTACATTATAAACTGAAGTCAGGTAAAAAATATGTATTTCAAATAATTAAATATGTTTTCGACAATTGAAAATTAGATTTAATTCCCATCGAGTTTTTAAATTTATATTTCATACGTTGTTTGACATTTTCTTGAAAACTCAAATAAAATTCTAAAAATTACATATTTGTACAAACTGCATTCAATTTACAACACGAAGAGGTATTTTTAACTGTTTAAATGTATCACTTTTCAATTACTTATTCAGTATTATAATTTATAACGCCTGTTTTGGGTATATTATTACAATTATATTTTCGTGCTTTCGTATAAAAATTAAAAATAGTAAACACGATTAAGGAATATTAAAATTTGAATATTAGGACACCCCTTGAGTAAGCTTATTTTTGTCCCCATATTAACTATTAAGCTATATCAAGGTTAGTAGATTAGTTAGATTGACGACAAAAATTATAATTAAAATAACTCAAGAAATAGGAGTACTTATTTCATTAAATTTTGAATACACCTTATACTAACTATTACTAAACACATAATATTTTGTTTTGATAATATGTTCAATTATGTTTAAAAATATTCTTACAGAAACAGAAAGTGAATAGACTTGTTCTTATTAATAGTTCTATTGCCTCAATCGACCTACTCTAATTATATATTAATGATAGTTGTAGCTTTAATGTATTGTGATTATTATAATATTTTACCAACCAAAAATGTATTTAATATATAAATAGTTCTAAGGACACCGGGTCGTTATTGTTGCACACTAGCACATGGATCTAAGCACATAAAACACATTTTAAAAATAAATAAATAATAACTTCCTCAAACTATAAAATTTTAATGTATAAATTGAATTTCCTAATTCGTTTTATATCACATTAAAAACTACTAAACAATATACTAGTAATTGTTTTCAATTATGATAGTACCTATAGTAACTATAGTAACTTCTAAAAATATATAAAAATATAAATATATCAATTAAACGTGCAATCAAATTATAGAAATCACATAATTTTAAAAAAACTGTTTACTTATATGTTGCCGTTATCCATATAGTCACTATTTTATTATGTAGTATGACTTGATAAGACACAAGACATAATACATTGCCTTAAAATGAATATGATTGGTTTCCAAAATAGTTTTGGCTGAAACGAGTATCGGATAGTGAACAAAATCTAGTATTTTTGTAACATGTCTGCAAAACAATAGAATATTATTTGAATGGAAAGTGTTTTGACTTTTGAGCACTACAATATTGAATATTCTAATTTCTAATCAAAATAAATTATCATTTGAGAATATAAATAATACCTCAAATTTTCCAGTTTATACCATTTGAAACGTCTCAGTTTGTAGTTTTTGTACATTTTACTATTTTTTTTTTTTTATTAGATTATAAGCTCATAATGAAATATTTGTTCACTTTAAATCAATAAAATTATATTTTTCACAGACATTCTAACTAATAATACCGTTGTTTTTATATTATTTTAGGCGATTAAAATATGTGAGTCTACACTCTACAATCTACATGTCAAATCAGGATTTGTACACAATATTTTAAAAGGACATATAAATAATAATAGCGTTATCTATAAAATAATAACACTCTAAATTTAGGATTATTTAAAAGTGCAAACTATAGGACATCGATGTTTCGATTATATTTTTTATCAAAAATGATCAAATTTTGTTTAATCGTTAAATTTTATAGACCAATAAAACTGAAGAATGAATAATTAAATATAATATTACACTTTAGGAATCCGACAGGAATTTAATATATCTACTAAATAGATGCTTCTGTCTGAAATCAATACTCCTAATTTGTATATAATTTATTCAATGAATAATTACTTCACACTCCACTATAATTTATATGTATATTAGTTTGTCTATTAGTGAGTAAACACCTATTTAATTATTCATTTTTATAACTTAATACATAATAAATATTGCACTATAATTTTTTTAGTTGTGTGTTAACATGACATTTAGTATAATAAATTACAAGTATGACTATAAAATTACTTTAAACTTGGTATTTCAAAAGCTTTTGCAAAACTTCTATTTATTCAATTTCTCTTATCTACTTCATTATTTTTATTTTTTAAAGTGGAAAAACAAATTATTTAAAAGAAATGTTTTGTTGTTTTTCTCATCTGAAGATTTTCAAAAATAGTGTTTATTTATTCAAGAAATATTTTCAGATTATTAGTATCAAATTATGTTATATTTTTGGTTTGTGAATATACAAAAATATTAATGAATAGATTTCTAGTATAATTTTATACAAATTATAGGTAGTTACTCTTTATGTATTTTCTTTTGACTCTAATACTATTCAAATTAGTTCATTATATTTTATGGGTTGTTTATCGAAATTATAGTTCAATAGATTATTGCGTTGTATAATATAGGAAAAGCTGCTTTTTATTACTTATACTCTCGTCTAAACAATTAATTTATGTTATGGTGATTTCTAATTTACCTTATAGTAATATTTTAAGTATATTGTCATTATCAACTGACAAATTAAATTAATTAAAACTATACATAAATTATTTTATATTTGATAAATTATAACTATTCTATTCCTATCAAAGTGTTGATTAAATTATTTGAAATATGCTCCAATCCTTATGATATATTTTTCAATGGATAAATGTTACCCATATGTTGTCATATTATGTTTCCAATAACTGATCCTCTCTATTAATGAATTGGAATTCAAATAATTAATCAATATAAATATTAAAAATATTAAATAATTCTAAGAACAAATTTACAAGCTGTCTAAAATATATATAGTTGATGCCCAACAATAAGAGGATCTAAGATCATTATGTATCGAAAATCAAACAAAACTTTTTTAAAAAACACAATATTGATAAATTTAAAACATTCAAGTGCAAAGTTTTAAACGATTTGTTTAATTTAACGAGAATAGACAACTTCCTAATCGGTTTTCCCATGAATTAAATAGATGCTATATTATGCATTACAATATAATATTTTCCTATTATGTAGTTATATATATGTATATATCTTTGTTCACGTTGAAGAACAAGTGCTCATCATTTTTTTTGCTGAACGTTGATAAATTT